TGTTGCTAGTTAGCCAACCAGCAACGGGCATGAAACTGTATGCAGATGGAGAAGGGCAATCACCCTTAATGGGCGATCAATGGTGAAGGGCAATCACCCTTAATGGGCGATCAATGGTGAAAGGCAATCACCCTTAATGGGTGATCAGGATATGCATAGGGGATTAAGGGGGGGGGGAATACAAAGAACACAACACCAATAATCCAGATAACAAAGTGTCTATATTAGGGACCGTTGGCTTGTGGGTGGCAAAAATCCTTTGAAATAAATCAACGTACTGCTGGGGGGATTCTCTAAATGGTGGCAAGTTAGCTTTCCAGTTAAAAAAGTCACTGGTGGTAAATGGGGTGTGAACCAGGACCATTTTTCCATTTGCTGCTGGCACCTGTCGCAGCGGGCATATTGTCTTCTCCTCCAAGTGATTTTTTTTTTGTAGCATAAACTTTGCCCTGTCTTGTGTGAGAAGGGCTTTGAATCTGTGCAGCAGAGGACGATCCCTCATCAGAATCTTCGTCTTCAGAGACGGAGAGAAGGGGGGCTGTGGTGGAAGAAGCAGCTGAGCTCAGGGGTGGAGCTTCAGATGCAGCAGCAGGAGCAGTCGGGATCACATAAGGTGGTGGGTAATCTTCAGGTTCAGGACAAGTTTGAATTGCTTTCTTTTGAAACTTATTTATTTCTGGGCGGACTGGACAGACCAAATTCAAAACCTCTGGAGGGACTAACAAGCCACATTGTTTTAAAATGTCCTGTCGGATGCTCAAATTAAAGAAAAAGCCTGCATATAATTCTTCATCCATCCGCCCTTGTATAGCAAGAACATCTGTGAGCTTATTAATAATATCCAAGTCCACAGACCTTTCTCTTGGCCAAGGTTGTTGCCCAGGGCCCATAAAATAAGTTGGCCACACATCAACACAAAACACCACCAGACGTTGTCTGACAGGGTTAAACTTAACAGCCACTTGAGGTTTCAAAACATCCCAATTTTTCAAAACACATTGCAGAGGATTACATTTAGATTTAATTTGTTTATTTAAATTACTCTGATGATTCCCCATATCATCATCATCATCTTCTTCTTCTTCTTCTTCTTCTTCTTCTTCTTCTTCTTCTTCTTCTTCTTCTTCTTCTTCTTCTTCTTCTTCTTCTTCTTCTTCTTCTTCTTCTTCTTCTTCTTCTTCTTCTTCTTCTTCTTCTTCTTCTTCTT